TTATCATTTGTTATGCAGAAAAGAAAAAAAAAGAACAACGTTTGCCTCAGGGTCACGTCGAAATTTCTTTACCAAAATTCAAAATAAAAATTACAATTAAAATCTAGGCTACCAGCCGGGCCGCCCGGGTCCCGGGTGGCCAGCCCGTGCAAGGACCAGGGAAGGTCCCAGCAACCAAAAAAAAAAAAAAAAAACGAAAAAGAACTTAAAAGTTCAAAAAAAGTTTACAAACTATGTTATCATTTGTTACGCAGAAAAAAAAAAAAAACTGAACAACGTTTGCCTCAGGGTCGCTTCGAAATTTCTTTACCAAAATGCAAAAATAAATATTACAATTAAAATTTAAAAACGATTTGCGAGGCTCAAGGCCTCGATCTGCCCTATTGGGCCCTATTTTCTGTACAGTTGGCCGTCCTAAGCGACGGCAGGCTCAACCCGGGGCCTGCAGGCCTATTTTGGGGTCATCACGCAACTGGGTAAATTCAGGTAGTTGCGCAGCGCCAGTTGGTTAAGAGCGCCCAGGCCCCGACTGCCTCTTTTTGAATGAACTGAGGCAGGCCCTGGGCCAGATTCGCAACATGGGCTGAAACGCAGGCCGTGGGTAGTTGGAAATGGGCAACCACCACAGGCCCAGGGCCTGTTACGTCTGGACTAGCTCAGCCTCTCTGGGCCTATTGGAAGCTTCTGGGCAGGGGTCCAGCGCAGCCAAGCTGCACGCAAGCAGGCAGGCCACTTCCATTTAGGAAAGTGCCTGCCCACGCATTCGGCATTCGGGCACTGGCTGCATGCTGCGCAAGCGCTGCTGCACTAACGCCGCTGCGCTAACGTGCTCACGGGCGAGCTGGAAGGAGCAGGCAGCCATAGCCGAGCTGCGCTGCTGTACGCTGGATGGGGGGCATGGTGGTCTTTGGGTGCATGTGGCATCTGTGGATTGGGGATCGAGGTTGTGAGTGATACGAGAGACATACCTGGTGCTTGAGGCGAAGGGCATTGGCCGAGATCTGCTCGTACTTCGGGGAGCTGTGGCCATCATCAGCGGCATTGTAGATAGGCTAGATAGGATCTGCCATTTGTAGTCTGGGCGCCAAGCGCCAGATAGGAGTTCGACATTGGCTCTTCGTTGATGGTGATGAGACTATTCAAGCATTGTCAATTATGAGCTTTTGCTGTGCTTTTGTTTGGTGGAACTCGTAATGCAATTCTGCTATTGGTTTGAGGTCACGACTATCTGGTCTCATGTGTATGATGCTGTTTGATTTCTGAAGTTCGTTATTGCTCATTTTCCTTGCAGATTTTATTTTACTTGGACCTTTTTCTCGATTTACGCGTGTCATCCTTGGGCAGGGGCCATGCTAACGTCTCTTTCTCTGTATCATTCCAATTTTAAGTTTTAACGGATGTCCCGATGGACTACTATATATATATATGCAAGGAAGATGAGCGATAGCGAACTTCAGCAATCAAACAGCATCATACGCATAAGACCAGATAGTCGTGACCTCAAACCAATAGCAGACTTGCATCACGAGTTTCACCAAATAAGAGCACACCAAAAGCTCATAATTGACAATGCTGGAATAGTCTCATAATCATCATCATCAACAAAGAACCAATGTTGATATCCTATCTGGCGCTCGGCGCCCAGACTACAGATGGCAGATCCTATCTAGCCTAGACTACAATGTCGAAGATGACGACAACAGCTGAAGTACGAGCAGATAGCGGCCAATGCCGCACGCTTCCAGCACCAGGTATGTCTCTCGCGTCACTCACAACCTCGTTCCCCAACACACAGATGCCACATGCACCCAAGGACCACCCTGTGCCACACCCAGCCTACAGCAGCGCAGCTTGGCTATGGCTGCCTGCTCCTTCCAGCTCGCCCGTGAGCGCGTGAGCGCTGGCCAGCTTAAACAATGCAGCAGCGCTTGTGCAGCATGCAGCCAGCACCCGAATGTCCAATGCGGAGGCAGGCCCTTTGCTATATGGAAGTGGCCTGCCTGCTGCTGCGCTGGGCCTGTCCCAAGAAGCATCCGGTAGGCCCCTGTAGGCTGAGGCCCAGTCCAAACGAATCAGGCCCAGGGTCTGTGGTGGTTACTTGTGCCCACCTGTTCTGGCCTGTGTTTGGCCCATATCCCGTATCCAGCCCAGGGCCTGCCTTCCATACATGCAAACAGGCGGCCTGGGCCTGGGTGCTCTTCAACCAACTGGCGCCGCGCAACTGCCTGAATTTTCCTCAGTTGCACAGTGACTGAAATAGAGGCCTCAAGCCCTCGTCGAGCCTGCCTTCACTTAGGGCGGCCGACGTGCTGCATAACAGGGCCCAAAAAGGGGCTCATTGGGGCCTTGGCCTCGCACACTCCTCCATAACTTTGATAGTCCTCTGAGAAGTTCAATCTTCGATAATCTGGCGCTTTCCCTTTTGCAGAGACTTTTCATACTAGGCAACGACTTGAGGAGCGGTCTGCATCAGTTCCTCCCTGGTAAACCATCGATCCTCCTTTGGATCCGTGTGATGTCTGAATCGAACGCGGTATTGCAGCTTCGGTTTCGGAGGACGTCCCCTGCCTGTCGGTCTTGGAACTGGCATTTCCTTATGGTCAACGATGTCATTGATGTCGACCTCTCCATCCATGGTTGGGGGCAGCATTGAGCGACGAGAGGGAAACTGATCAGTTTCCTCGAAAGGTGCAAGCTTAGAGGCGTGAAAGACAGGATAAGTGCGGAGATGACCAGGGATCCGAATTACATATGACGGTCCATCCGGATCAGTCCCGACAATGTCTAAGACCTCCCATGGTCCGAAGTACTGAGGCATGAGCTTGCGGGAAATCCCGTGCTCCTGTCCCAGTTCTGAGGACTTAACCCAGACTCTATCCCCAACCTGAAATGTAGACGGGCGGCGATGTCTGTTCTCAGATTCTATCATTGCCGCCTGAGCCTTTTGCATTTGTTCCACTGCGTGCTGCATCTTCTGCTCATATCGGTATGCAAATTCCAAAGTACCGGGTGCAACAGTTGACTGATTTTCAGGTAGTAAGAAGTCTAGAGGCAGTCTAGGTTTGAAGGTCAGTAGTAGACTGTTAGGGCTCACTCCGGTGGCGCTGTGCACAGCATTGTTATACATACTGGCGATGAGAGCAAGCGATGAGAGCAAGATTCTCGTCCCAGTCGACCTGATTGTAGTCGGTCATCCCTAAGAAAGACCTCATCTCAGTCACAGACTGAGGACGCGGCCAGTCACGAATGTTGGCCACCTTCGCGTCATCGGGCTTTAATCCCTCCGCGGAAATCTCATGACCCAAGTACAAGACACGGGTGCGGCCAAACTCACACTTCTCACCGTTGATCTTGAACTTGTGTTGTTGCAGAAGACTAAGGACTTTGTCCAAGTGCGCAACGTGCTCCTCGACAGTCTTACTAAAAATAAGTATGTCATCGAGGTACACGATGACAAACTTATCCAAGTAGTCATGAAATATCCGATTCATAGCGTGTTGAAAGGTGCCAGGAGCATTGCAAAGGCCGAAAGGCATCACCACGAACTCGTACAGACCGTACCTGGTCTGAAAAGCGGTTTTGTGTTGATCCTCGGGCCGGATTGCAATCTGATGGTACCCGGACTTCAAATCTATCTTACTGAAGTACCGACACCCTTGCACTCTATCTAACAAGTCATCGATGTGCGGTAGGGGCTCTCTGTTCTTGACAATAATGGCATTGAGGCCCCTATAATCAATGCACATCCTAAGTGTTCCTTCTTGGGTACAAATAAGACTAGAGACCCATAAGGAGAAACACGGTCGGATCCAACCCTTTTCTACGAGTTCGTTAAGTTGCCGGCGAAGGTCATCAAGCTCACTTGGAGACATCCGATAGATCCTACCCTTCGAAATGCTAGATCCTGGGATAATCTCTATCGCGTGGACGACCTCCCTCTCAACAACCCCTGTCGGCTCTTCAAATACATCAGGGTATTTGGCAACTACTCCCTCTATCTCCGACGACATTTTCACCTGCTTGCCTGCAACAGAGACATAAACTAGATACATACCCGCCTCCTGATTTTGCTTATAGTAATTATAGAACGCGGCCGCACACATGCATCCATAGGACTCAATCAGACTACTAGCTTTGAACTTACGTAATCTGGCGGTCCCTTCACCTGGCAAAGTGTGTTTGACCACTTTTCGGTCCCAGTCCAACTGGGGCTGTGCCACAGAGAGGTAGTACATACCTAACAAGATATCCATGGGGAGTTCATCGCTCACTAGGAACGAGATACGATGTCTCAGTTCCCCTCCCGCGTATGGGAAATAACACTCAACATCCTGGAGGTAGTCGTTGACTACCATGCACTGTTTGTTGGCACAGGTCGATTTCACTGGTCGACTTAGGCACTGCACTTGCCCCTGTAAGCGCAGCCTCTCAACGCACGCGCGACTAATGAACTTCCGTGTCAAGCAAGTGTCATAATAGTCCCCGGCCTTGCGGCTGCCAATGACCACCTCGCTGATAAACATCTCACCCTTAGGGGCTTTGACCAATGCCGTCCAAGAAGCTAGAGGGTCTGTTTTAGACCACTCCTCCTCTAGCTCCTCTAAGGACTCAAATACATTCATCGAACACAGGCTCGATGGGTCTGAACGTGTTTGCGAGACGACGATGGAGTTAGTAGCTTGGGCCATCTCTCGAGATGGTGAGGGTGTGTCCACCACCTCGACCCTAGCAAGAACAACTACCATTCCTGCTGACCCGACGTGTTTCTCAGAGCAGTGCCAAAAGTGCTAGCCACATTGCTATCAACGAGAGTGGAGGATCCCAACGCCTGCCCCATCGTAGGCGGGATCTTCTCGGTCACGTTCTTATTTCTGCACTTGAATTGGTTATGGCCATATTGGCCACAACGGATACAAGCCTGTCGTGTGTACTGATCTCTCCACACGTCCTCAGTGAGACCCGCTTTCTCCCATGGAGGACCATTGGGGTCAACTTGACTCCTTGACCGGGAACCTCCACGGCGTCTACCGGTCGCCTTACCTTTTTGCGCTACGGCAGCGACTACTCCACCCCCAGAAGCTTCTACGTTGCCAGCCTTTGAACCTACTCCCTCCTGGAAGTTGTCATTTGACTCGATGGTTGAACCATCATTATCAACAAACATAATGTGACCCTTTGCCTTCCAGTTGGGAGGTAGTGTCTTCTTCCTTCCATCCGTCATGGGGTTATGTCCATGCCCTATCCTCGCCTCTAGGTCTAGGGCCTTCTTGTTGAACGAGGGAAAGTTGTGCATATTGATGTTGGCCTCACCTGCCAACTGATTCCTGAGAGGCACGGGAAAGCATCTCAGGTAGGAGGTGAGTAAGACCTGGGGGTCATAGCGAACCCCAGGGACATAGATCAGACGCTCTACAACGTCAGTGGCCTCCCTTACTGGAACTGCCTCGTGTGCAGTGTCAGGATCGCGTTAGTGGCCTTTTGGGCCTCCTGAGGATCGTGCCACCCGTCTTCCACCAACTTGAGAAAGTCATCCAGTTTCTGGGTGACCGCCCAAGCGCGAAAGTCATGACCGTACCCTTGTAGCTGCACTAAACCACTCAACCATCGTGCTGCACTCCCCTCTAAAGAGGAGGCAGCCACAAGCACTTCCTCGTGCGGCAAGGTAAGTTTGCACTTGACATAAACTGACACTGCCCTCAACCAAGTGTCGAGGTCTTCGCCCCTCTTATCCCCTGTGAAGGGTTTAGGAGCGGCAATGGCCGTCTTTGGTACCCACCGACTTTGTCCCGGTCCCTGCATCACTCCGGGCTGTGATTTAAGCTGTCTGCCAACCTCTACGTCCCTGTCTGTCGGTCAACCTGTGGACTGGTCAACCTGTCGCCCGGTCAACCTGTTGACCGGGCTGCCTGTGTGTCAATCCCTGTCTGTTGGCATTTCCCTGTCGACTNGTCAACCTGTGGACTGGTCAACCTGTCGCCCGGTCAACCTGTTGACCGGGCTGCCTGTGTGTCAATCCCTGTCTGTTGGCATTTCCCTGTCGACTGGTCAACCTGTCAAATTTAAGAGGTAAAAAAAAAAAATAAAAAAAAATTGCAAGGCTGGGGCTGTGTACTGGGCGGTTTAAGCTGTATGCCAACCTATATGTTCCTGTCTGTCAGTCAACCTGTGGACTGGTCAACCTGTCGCCCGGTCAACCTGTTGACCGGGCTGCCTGTGTGTCAAT